TGTTTTGATGGTGATCATTGCAGCATGTCCTTGAACAGTCGAGTGTGCCCTGTTATTGTCCAAAATCTGCTATTCGCACAGATGAAACGACGTTCAAGCACCATCCGGAGAGTGACCATGCCAAGAAGGTGCAATACCTGCTGCGTAGCCGGTGCTCATACGACCATGTTTTTTAAATGCAAAGCATTTCTTAGCAAACTTCGGCGAGTTTGAACGTATCTATCTATCTTTCATCTATCTATCTATCTATCTATCTATCTATCTATCTATCTATCTATCTATCTATCTATCTATCTATCTATCTATCTATGCGCAAGTGCAAACAACTGGTTATATAAACATCTGCAACTCTTCAACATGTGTCTGTGCGTGCAAGACTTGTACATATATTTACCGTCATTTCATGACGTGTCGCTCAATTAAAAAAAAATGCAACGCGGTTACCTTCCCTCCGCATGCTTCGCATAACCTCGATTCCCAGGTACGTGGGATCTGCCGATTTTTGGTGTTGTAATCGATAATAAAGATCATAAAAGATTAGACAAGTAAGCAACGTACGTAGGTATGAACTTTTTAAAGAAAGATTCTTGTTAATACGGTATGCCAATGTCGTCGTCACGTGACAATATCTTAGCTCTGTAGTTTGTCAACATTCGCGTTTTCCGATGAGTTCTGACCTTCGGATGAAATCATTAGCTTAAACGCAGCAGTAACCTTAAGCATCCACAATGGTAAAGTGGTTACAGTCTTTGGCTGCAAAAGTCGCGGGATCGAGTCCCGAACTGCGCCGGCTGCATTTCGACGCAGGCGCAATGCTAAAAGGCCGTGTACTGTTATTTAGGTGAGCGTTAAGAAACATTATGTTAACAAGATCTCCAGAGCCTTCTACAATGGCACACCTCATCATCGTGGAGATTTTCGCCCGTAAAACATCAGTTACTATATGCTAATCGTAGCAGTATCTGTGGTTTTATGCCCCGAATCCACGATATAATTCTGAGAGGCCCCGTATTGGAAGGCTCCAATTAAGCATTTCGACTTACTCGCACAGTGCCCGGGCTTCTACCATTTCCCCTTTATAATAATAATAACAATAACAACAACAACAACAATAATAATAATAATAATAATAATAACAACAACAACAACAACATAATAATAATAATAATAATAATAATAATAATAATAATAATAATAATAATAATAATAAGTGTGAGGTCTTACCTTCAGAAACCATGAGATGATTATGGGAGATGCCGTAGTGAAGGGCTGCGGAAATCATGAACATCTGGTTTTCTGAACATGCACTGGGATCGCACTGTACACGGGCCTATACTATATGTCTCCTCCATAGGAATTCGACCGCCGCAGCCACGATCAAACCTGCCACATTTGGGTCAGCAGCCTAGCACCCTATAGCCACTGATCCACCGATGTGAACTATATCAGATTGTTTAAGAGACTATGAAAACAGGAAACTTCGGTTTATAGTAAATATTCAAGATCAAGCTTCTTTTCCGTCCCGTATGAGCCTCTAGTCTTCGTTCGAAAATTTTCGTATAGTGAAGGGCGCAAGACCAGACTTCGTTCCGAATGATTCCTACTTCGTTGTTTTGAAGCCAGCAACTCATCAGTGTACGTCGCAAGACCTGACATAGGATACAACTTTTGAGCAGCCTGAAGAGGCTCCGTCCATACGACCGAGGCCTGGCAGTTGGTTGCCTCCGAAGCTGACAGTCAGCCATATGCTTTCCGAAGGTGGAGTCATCGGCAATAGGGCTCATGACGGCAGTCCGGAGTGTGCGTCCATTGGTGCAGGTGTGTGAATCCGCCTTTTAGGTGCAAATGCTGCAGAGTGCTGAAGTTGAGCATAGCTCTAGTTGCTGAAAGGTGCCTTGAAGGGCCAGTTGGTACATGATACATATGACTTCGGCAAGCATGATACATGACTTCAACAGTTGGTGCATGACTTCAACAAGCAACACCTTAGCAGCCTAGCTGCGCCCTGCTCATTCATTACTGCAAGATACTCTCAAGATAACGTAACAGGACAGAGCGCGAAATCAACGACGCCTTCCATACCAAGAAGAAAGAAAACATGTGTGTCAGTGGGCCTTCACTCGCCCTCCTGGAAGCCCCGCCGCGGTGCTCTGGTGGCTAACGCACTCAGCTACTGACCCGCAGGTCGCGGGATTGAATCCCGGCTGCGCCGGTTGCATTTTCGGTGGATGCGACAATGCTGTAGGTCCGTGTGCTCAGATTTGGGTGCACGTTAAAGAACGTCAAGTGGTCGAAATTTCCGGAGCCCTCCACTACAGCGTCTCTCATAATCATGTGGTGGTTTTGGGACGTTCAGCCTTACATATTATTCTTATCGTCTTCCTGGAAAAAGAGATTAGACAGCTATAGTTTACCGTTAGTCGGATAGCGGAGGTTAAGAGAATGGCGTTACCGTGCAGCAAACGTTCGTGACGGAAAGCATCTTATAGTTTAGCGGGAAAGCACTTACGTGGTTTACCTGCCCCAACTTGGAAGGTGGCGCCACCTATCTGAGGGTTAAGGAGTCAGAACACTGAAAAGGAAAATAAAACGAGGGTGTCTGCCTGTGACACCACACGAATCATTAGTACAAGTTTTTTTTATTAATAATATAAGTAAATAAATATGAACCACGTACCAAACGCAAAAACATTTATGTTGCCAATTCGTTTGCATCGATCTTGTAGTTAGGCCTAGACAAGTTTGAAATGGGAAGCTATCTCAAGAACTATGCCAGCTTATTTGTAATACTCAGTCGTTGAAGCTTACTGAAAACAAGTGAAGCCACTTTGACCAGTATTTTTCTGCGAACAACTTGAATGTTTCAACAACTACGCCAAAATCACTTCGAAGCGGGCGTCCGAGAGCACCGCCATGTTTACGTACACTACGTACACCCACGGTAACACGGTAACGTTAAATCTGAAAAAATAGTGTGGGAACGGTAAGCGGTACGGGTAACGTACGTATCTGCGCGTGCGCACTTCGATCCCGCTATCCCGGTACGCCCGGTATACCGGTGAGTCCGGTGTACTATAACTGTCTATTATGTTTTTGAGCCTTAAAGGGAGATTTCTACTTGTGGGAGACTCTTCTTTCGTTTCATATTTATGTACGCGTGATGGTTATATTCTTGTTTTCCGTGCTCAGCTATATATTTCCCGGTGTAATAAATTTATACGCAGTTGTTCGTCCGCGCTTGTGCTGTGTGATCATTCTTTCTCCGCCCCGTTTTTCCACAGTTTTTCTTAGTACTATAGTGGCTGTTTGCAAAGTTTCATTTCGAGCTATTTGGGAACCGATCTTCCTCCGCCCTGAAATTCCATGGCTTCTAAAAAGTGCACCAGTTCCTAGACTACATGCTCAGATGCATGAATGCAGGAAACGTGCGCAACTTGCAGATACCTCTGAGAGTCTTCAGCGAAGTTGTAATGTTCAAACGCACAGGAAGTGAATTCAGTGAAAAAAATGAAGACACGTCCAACGTTAACTTTTTGTAAAGCTTCACATAGTTATTTCTTTCAATGACTGACTGCATTCATCCCGTCAGTCTCAGAAAACTTCCAGCCAAACAGACAAAAGAGCAAGCAAGTGCGCTGCATTCATCTCTCCTCCAAGTTTGTGGTGTGGTCTGTATATACTGCCACTCCCTTCCGCAAAACGAATTAATATTCCTTGGCGCCAGAAGAAAGCATTGTTGGCCTAGTTCGTTGTTTCTGCCCGATTTATTTCCCACTAAAAGGTAAAAACCTGTTTTCGTTCCTGTTGTTACAAGTAACTCCTTTAAGAATCTATTCACAATGCAGAGAACTCGACGAGCAAGATGGCGCCAGTCCAGCATCAAACGAAAACTCACTTCGTTCTCCTCTTTTATGCAGCCGTGTTTAGCGGCTGTTATGTATCATATACCACCAGCGGTAGAAGCACCGTCCCGGTGCTAAATCTACGCAGATGATGTCGAAGGGGGGTAATAGGGCTTTAGCCAAGCCACGTGAACGGTGTCGCTAGGAGCTGACGATGACTTTGTTGGATCGGTTGGAACAATCTCGTACGTGACATCTGTCACTTGGCGAACGATACGGAATGGTCAAGTGTAGAGCGACAACAGTTTTTCAGACAGTCCCACACGCCGAGTAGGTGACCAGAGGAGCACGAGAGAACCCGGGGAAAAGTGCACGTCCCTATGGTGAGAATCGTAGAGCTGTTGTTGGTGCGCCTGTGAAGCCTGTAGACGGTTACGGGCGACTTTCGCTCGTAGTCGGCCCGAGCAATGGCTTCCCCGGCATATTCAGTGGCCGCAGGTAGCGAAGTGTCTAAGGGTAGATTTGGGTCCCGGCCATATAGGAGATAGAAGGGCGAATAGCCGGCAGTGTTGTGACGAGATGAATTGTAGGCGAACGTCACATACGGCAAATGAATGTCCCAATCCTGGTGGTCTAGCGTAACGTATTAGGCAAGCATATCAGTTAGGGTCCTGTTGAGGCGCTCCGTGAGGGCATTTGACTGGGGATGGTACGAAGTAGTAAATTTGTGCTTGGCATGGTAAGACCTCAGGATTTCATGAACGACAGCTGATAAGAACGTACGGCCATGGTCGGTGAGAAGTTGGCGGGGAGCACTGTGCACTACTATTATGTCGTACAGTAGAAAGTCCGCAACGTCGGTAGCGCAACTTGTCGGAAGTGCTCGGGTTATTGCGTACCGCGTCGCGTAGTCTGTGGCAACAGCAATCCATTTATTTCCGGCTGTGGAGAGTGGGAAAGGGCTCAACAGGTCGAGACCAACTCGAAAGAAAGGTTGTGTGGGAACGTCTATTGGCTGAAGGTAACCGGCCGGGAGGGCAGACGGCGTTTTGCGACGCTGACGGGGCTCACAAGCGGCGACATAGCGTCGAACAGAGCGGGCAAGTCCAGGCCAAAAAACTGACGTCGTACCCGATCATATGTGTGAGAAACGCCCAAATGGCCCATCAGGGGAGCGTCACGAAGTTGATGCAGGACAGTGGAACGCAGGTGCACTGGGATGACAGCAAGTAAGTCTGATCCGAAGGAATCAAGTTTACGGCGATATAGGATCCCGTCTTTCACCAAAAACATTCGTAGGGACGGGTCGCGAGGCGTTGACTCCAGTTTGTCAATGATGGCTCGTAAAGAAGCACCCCGACATTTCTCTTCGCCAATGTTCAACAGCCGCGACACGGAAAAAACGTCCGTGATAGCGTCAGTATCGCTTGCTTCGTCAACAGGGTAGCGGGATAAACAATCCGCACCCTGATGTAATCGCCCTGTTTTATACATTACAGAGAACGTGTATTCTTGAAGGCGTAGGGCCCATCGAGTGAGACGTCCTGTGGGGTCCCTCAGGAAGGCTAGCCAGCAGAGCGCGTGATGATCCGTGACAACACGGAATGAGCGCACGTACAGGTATGGACGAAACTTGGCGACTGCCCATACAAGGGCGAGGCACTCGCGCTCCGTGATGAAATCGTTGCACTCGGCTGGTGATAGCAGTCGACTTGCGTAGGCTATAACGCGGTCGTGTTCCCGTTGTTGCTGCAATAGCACAGCTCCTATGCCGTGTCCACTGGCATCCGTGTGAACCTCGGTTGTGGCTAATGGATCAAAGTGTGTCAAGATTAGTGGCGTTGTAAGCAGTGTCGTAAGTTGGGAAAGCGATGACGCTTGGTCATGAACCCAGATAAACAAGGCGTCTTTCTTCAAGTGGTTTGTGAGGGGGCGTGCAATGGTCGCAAAGTCCTTAACAAAGCGTCTGAAATATGAGCACAACCCCACAAAACTGCGGACATCCTTTGTTGTCCTCGGAACGGGCAAGTTCGTGACTACGCGAATTTTTTCTGCGTCTGGAGGCACGCCTTGGGCATCGACAAGGTGACCGAGCACGTAAATTCGACGACGAGCGAAGTAGCACTTGGAGGCGTTAAGCTGGAGTCCGGCTCGACGAAAAACGTCCAGAATAGCTGACAAACGGTGGTCGAGATGCGAGTCGAATGTGAGCGAAAAGACAATAACATGGTCAAGGTAACACAAGCAGGTGGACCATTTCAACCCTTGGAGCGATGAGTCCATCATTCTTTCAAATGTGGCTGGCGCATTGCAGAGACCAAACGGCATCACCTTAAACTGATAAAGGCCATCAGGAGTGATGAATGCGGTCTTCTCGTGGTCCATCTCGTCGACGGCTATCTGCCAGTAGCCTGATCGAAGGTCAATAGTTGAAAAATAAGTAGCACCGTACAGGCAGTCTATGGCATCGTCGATGCGAGGTAAAGGATAAACACCTTTTTTTTTGTAATTTTCTTGGGGTGACGGTAGTCGACACAAAAGCGCCATGTTCCATCCTTCTTTTAAACAAGGACGACCGGAGAAGCCCAGGGGCTGCATGAAGGCTCGATAATGTTTTTCGCAAGCATTTTGCCAACTTCATGTTGTAATATTGCACGCTCCGACGCAGAGACATGGTAGGGGCGTCGGTAAATGGGAGTTGCATGGCCAGTATTTGTGCAATGGGTGACAATGGTCGTTTGGCTTAAAGAGTTGCTGGCAAAGTCGAAAATGCTACGATAGCCCCGGAACGTGGCAAAGCTCTGCAGCTTGCTCAGACGTGAGGTCCGATGACGCCATTCGCTCGATGTCGGCGGCCCAAGAACGTGATGGAGTGGAACCACTGACTGAGCTGCAGCAATCGTCAACTCTGAAGGGCACGACATGGTCATCTTGGAGAGCGGTAATTTTGGCCAGGGAGATACCCTGTGGTAGAACTTGGGTGGTAAGTGAGAAGTTGACCAGTGGAAGGAAGGTGCGGTTTCTCGTAATCGTCAGAATCATATGCGGCACCGCAACCCCATGCGTAAGCATCACGGCAGGAATCGGGGCCACCATGTAATCACAATCAAGTACTGGTGGCGTGGAGGATAAGTCGACATGTGTGGCAGAGTTAGGCGGAAGGCGCGTGAAATCAATGCAGCAGGGGCTGGTTTGCGGTGGGCTGGCCGGGTCGGGAAAGAGAGGTAAATCGAGAGGGAGAGAGCCAGCTGAACAGTCTATGAAGGCAGAGTGCGTGGCTACCGGTTATGCTGCCTCGACCTCTCGACGAATGATGCGTGTGAAGTTGCCACATCGAGGGGCCTGGTGGAAGGCGTCGTCACACCAAGAAGTGACCGCTGTGTTCGGAAGGCGCACGATGCTTTGGGCTACTCAGCGGGCTTTAGCTTGTTCGAGACGTCGGCATTCTTTAAGGATGATGTCGAGGCTCAAGACGTTGTTAAAAACCAGCAGGTTGAAAGCATCGTCGGCAATGCCTTTCAAGACGTGGTTAACCTTTTCGTCTTCCGACATGCAGTGGTCGGCCTTGGAACAAAGGGCCAAAACGTCAAGAATGTAGCAGACGTACGATTCGGTAGAAGACTGGGCCCGTGTGGCAAGAGTCTTCTTCGCAGCGAGCTGACGACCAGTTGAGTCGCCAAACAGGTCACGTATCTTTTCTTTGAAGAGATCCCAGCTCGTTATGTCGGCTTCGTGGCTTTCAAACCATGTTCGGGGAGTGCCGTCCAGGTAGAAAAGCACGTTGGCGAGCATGAGCGTGGGATCCCAGAGCCGAGTAGCACTGACGCGCTCGTACCACTTCAGCCAAGTGTCAAGATCAATCGTACCATCACCGGAGAAAGTGCCGGGATCCCGGAGGTGCGGGAGTGTGACGTAGGTGGTGGCTTGGACTGATGAGGGCGACGTAGAGGAAGTACCAGCAGTCGAAGCAGTCGAAAGGTCATGGATGGTATGACCGCTGCGCGTCTCCATCGAAGTACGGGGGTCGTCCACCACCACCCATAATGTTGCGAGTAGCTTCTTTAATAATCTATTTACAACGCACAGACCTCGACGAGCAAGATGGTGCCAGTCAAGCATCAAACGAAAACTCCCTTCGTCCTCCTCTTTCATGCAGCCGTGCTTAGCAGCTGTTATGTATCACTATTCTTCGTACTTTGCCCCACCGCGGTGGTCTAGTGGCCAAGGTACTCGGCTGCTGACCCGCAGGCTGCGGGATCGAATCCCGGCTGCGGTGGCCGCGCTTCCGATGGAGGCGGAAATGCTATAGGCCCGTGTTCTCAGATTTGGGTGCACGTTAAAGAACCCCAGGTGGTCGAAATTTTTGAAGCCCTACGCTATGGCGCCTCTCATAATCATATGGTGCTTTTGGGACGTTACACCCCACGTATAAATCAATTATCCTTCATCCTTTTATCAAAGCCAAAAGTCAATAAATATTGTGATCCTCCCTTAAAAATCTTACCTTGCGTGATAAAGACAGAAAGAAAAGCAAAAGAAAGGCCGGGAATCTAACTAGATTAGGCGTCTGCGATTCGTAGAAGCACGCACGAGGTGCGCTTCAACCAATCATCGACGGCTAATGGCTGCGAAACGCATAGATAGACATAAAGAAATAGAATCGTTCCGCGATTGTACCTCAGGGGTGAAATTGTGGAATGGGTTTGCTGCCACACACGAGGGAAGGAGAAAAGGGGAGAAAATCATAAGGAAGGAGACTTGAAGTTATAGGATAGCACGCACAGCAGCGCGCGTACAGCGCATGCCCAGAAGGTCATGAAACCACGGACATTCAGAGAGCACACGAACAAGTGCGCGAGTATCGTGCATGGTGTTGTGACAAAGCCGACATAGATTGTGCGGACGAAGTCGCCAGGCAGAGGCGTGGGGGCAAGACTTGTGCGAAGAGGAAAACCACGATGGACTCGGACACGAGGTCACGAAGGAAATAGGCGTGCGCGTTGAGTGGAGTGCCGCGCAGTTGGGAAGGTGGCGTTCGATGGTGCGATAAAAGAAGGGACGTGGTTCGCCAGCATCAGGTTGGGGTCGTCCCAAGTGCCTAGCAGAGGTCAAGGGTCTGATCGGTCTGCTTTGGTTGGCCTCAAGCTTTGACGGCGTGTCCATGGTGCGAGCGCAAAGCTACCGCATCCACCGGTAACACCGTCGGACATGGGCCCACGTGTTTCGCTGTGGTCGCTGGCGCGGGCGTTTGAGCAGCGAAACTTCGTCAGCCCCGATCTTCGTCATTTGCCTGCTCCATCGTCGCATACGCTTGATCGGCGCCCTGCTCTTATTCGAATTCCTGCGTGTACGGCATTCCCACGTTAACACCCGTCTCTCCGGAGACGTATCCCGCATCAGTTTTAGTGTTCAACATTTGATATAGGACTAAACTTCCTTCTGTCTTTGGGTAATGTGAGTAGTTTGTAAGGCGCCTTGCTTTTATTTGTGCCTGTTGTTGTGTGTATTATTTGCATGTGTTTCTTTATAAAGTGAAGTGAAGTGAAGTGAACTTTATTGCCATATATATCAAAACAAGTATAAACAACAAGGATGGTGGGATAAAAGCTGCGTGTAGGTGGCTTGACTAGTCCCACCTCCCAGAACAATAACAGCAGCAGCAAACATTAACAAGCATTCTTACTTGTCACAATAGTAAAAAAGAAATACATAAAGCAAAGCGATAAGAGAAGAAGCAAAAAGGTATGAAACAAACATTCTCAACAGACACAATCATAAACAACAAACATTGGTGTTTATAAAAATTAGTTGAAGCATTCTCTTTTTGGAAATATGACGTATGTTGTCATCGCTTAATTTATATTTGTTTAGTATTGTAGGAGGGCGGTAGGAAAGTGTTTGAAACCGTAGTTTGTGCGTGGTCGCGGAGCTGCCTAATGTTCGGTGTGTCGGTTTATGCGATATGATTGATTTATTGACAAGTTAGCGATGTTCCTCATACGAGTACTGCCCTTAATCGTTTCATGTTTAAAAGAACTTATAAGCTGATACTCATAAAAGTAATCAACTCGGATAATTTTGAACTTCAAAAATAGGTCACGCGTGTGCTCATTATACGATACATCAGCAATAGCCTGTAGGGCTTGCTTCTGTAGCGTGACTAAATTTTTTAATGATTGTTTAGTGTTGTTTGACCAAACGAGGTGACAATAGCGCAGATGTGAAGCAA